TGTTTGACTTTATGTCGTTTTCACTAACTGATTTTTTGTGGTTTTGACTTTTTGCTTGTTTGACCTTTCGTGTATGATCCGATCTAGCTTTTAGATTTTACCCACCTTAAAAAGTGAAATTTCGTCTAAACTAAGACCCGACTAAATCTGTGACTAAAAATTATCGAAAAATAGCGAATAATTAACGAATAAATTTCGGACAAAACAGATCTTCGCTAGGTGCCCTAGGTTTTGAGATAAAAGCGTGGCCAAGCTAGGGAGGCTGACCCCAGCAACCCACCTATAACGGTTGAACCAGTGACCGACAAATTCTGTTTGAAAATGTGGCGACAAAGTTCGACCAATTTTTTGTGTTATCAAAATTGAAATCCATGATGGTGGCTAAGCTGGTATCAGTGACATCTCGCTGATGCGACCTCGCCCACGTCTTAGTCTGCGCTACGCCTCTGGTTGACAGTCTAAAAATCATGAGGATATTTTTATTCTTATGTGTGTGCGTATCTTCTATTGCGTGATTTAAAAGAAAAAATAACAATCAAGATTTTTATTTGATGTATTTTCTATTCACATCACACATCAATAGCCTGTAATAGTCCACTGCTGCACATAGGCCTCTCGTTAGAAAGGAGATTTTGGCCTACTATACCACGCTGGCCAGACGGGTTGGTATAGGTTTGTGTCAATTTTTCCTTCTACTACACACAAATAAAGAAGCCGGATAGTCGGCGTTATATACCGACTAATCGCCAACTACACACATGGCCCGATAGTCGGCTTTACCGACTAGTGGTCGACTAATCGGTACATCTCTAGAAAATATACGATATTTCGCACAAATTCCTTTGTAACCTACTTCTAAAAAGGACGTTCTTTATTTAGTTGTATTTTACCTCAGAAATCCGTCATTTATGAACCAACTGGGGAAAATATTATTTTATTATCGATATACCTCACAAATAAAAAACATTTTTTTTCCTTTAGTGCTATTCAAATAAGAAGAAAAAATGCCTCTCTTATTTGTAGCCGACTTCCCAAAAGGAGGTTATCAGTTCACCCTTTTGTATGTATGTGTGAGTGATATTATTGAAATTGCAAAATCACATTACCTAATATTAATTATACATAACTAGCTCTCCGCCCGCGGCTTCGCCCGCGTGGAATTCGGTTATATCGCGCCTCGTATATTATCCCACAGGAACATAATATCGGGACAAAAAGTAGCCTATGTCCTTTCTCAAGGTCTAGACTGTGTACCAAATTTCATTTTAATCCGTTCAGTAGTTTTGGCGTGAAAGCGCAACAGACAGACAGAGTTTCTTTCGCATTTATAATATTAGTAAGGATTGAAATGCGAAAGTATGGATGTTTGTTTGTTCCACTTTCACACCTAAACGGTTAAATGAATTTCGATGAAATATGAGAGGCAGATGGATCAAGCAGTATACAATTTATCCTGCAAAAGTGTAAAGTTCCCAAGGGATATTCAAGAAACTGTTACAATCCCTAATCCACGCGTACGAAGTCGTTGGCAGAATGCTAGTATTTACATATTACGGCATCTAAACAATACAAACAAAATGTCACCAGTTATGTTATGTGCTTATATTTATCCTCGCATATCTCAAAAATTTATTTAAAAATATTCATGTTATGTTAATAAAAGTTAGTGAAAGTGTGTACATAATAATAATAATAATAAGACTTTAGTTCATTACACACCTTAATATATTCAGCAGCCTATACAGCTGCTATTTGTAACGGCACTAAATTCAACACTGAAGATAGTATAACCACTTATAAACGGAATAGGACGCCTGCGTGGCAAAGAAGAATTGAAAGCAGAATAGAAAAATATAGATTAGAAATAGGAAGATTAACACAATACATGTCAGGAAATAGAAGTCAGAGAATACTAAAAACTGTAGAGGAAATAAAGAATAAATATAAAACTCATTCACAACACGAAGAACCTAACACAGAACCACAACATTTTCTTGACACACTAAAACAGAAATTAAACGCGACCGCAAATAGACTTAAAAGATATTTAAATTGTACTAAACGGAAACAGCAAAATGGAAACTTCATAAATAATGAAAAACAGTTTTATAGAACCCTAGGACATAATAATCAAATAACATCAAACACTACAGAAATCCCCTCACCACAAAACCTTCATCAATTCTGGGCTGGCATTTGGGAAAACCTAGTGCAACACAACACTCATGCCGACTGGTTACAAAAAATAGCAGACACATCAAACATTAACCAAATGGAGTTTGAAAACATCCCAGTTGACACATTCATTCAGATCATCAATCGCACACATAACTGGAAGGCACCAGGCACCGACAATATACACAATTACTGGTATAAAAAATTAGCCTGCACACACCCATTCGTCCACAGTCACATTTGCAAATTCATTCAATCACCGCACACTTTGCCAACATTCATAACACAAGGAATCACATACATGCTACCAAAAGGTTCAGACTCCAAAAATCCTGCAAATTACAGACCTATCACATGCTTGCAAACTATACATATATAAAATTATTACAAGTTGCATTAGCGAAATTATTTACAGACACTTAAATGAATACAACGTGCTGGCAGAACAACAAAAGGGGTGTAAAAAAAATAGCCAAGGTTGTAAAGAACAATTAATCATAGACTCAATAGTAATGAGACAAGCCCAAACTAAAAATAGGAACATCCATATGTTGTACGTCGATTACAAGAAAGCATTTGATTCTGTCCCCCATAGTTGGTTATTATATGTATTGGACCATTATAAAATTCACCCTAGTCTCATAACATTCTTAAGCACAGCCATGCTTCATTGGAAAACTAAATTAAAATTAATAAATAACGAGTTAACCACTGACTTGATAAAAATTAAAAGAGGCATATTTCAAGGAGATGCGCTTAGCCCGCTTTGGTTTTGTATGGCACTCAACCCCTTATCTGAACTGCTAGATAGTACAAATATAGGATTTAAATTAAGATGCAATAACTCATTCCACATACTCTCACACTTACTTTACATGGACGATATTAAAATTTATGCAACTAATAACACTGAACTTAATAAACTAACTGACATTACACAATCATTCTCGACAGATATTCATATGCAATTCGGGGTAGACAAATGTAAAACACACTCAATCAACCGCGGCAAGACAGAATACAATTTTTATACACTTGATACAGGTGAACAAATAGAACCAATGGATGAACATACGACGTATAAATATTTAGGATTCCGCCAGTCTAGACAGATTCAGCAAAAACCGACAAAATTAGAGTTAACACAGAAATTCAAAGCCAGAATAAGTCAGATTTTGAGAACCCAATTAAACTCACGCAATACCATCAAAGCCATCAACACGTATGCAATACCAGTTCTTATTTATTCGTTTGGGATTTTAGCCTGGTCCCAGAGCGATCTCATTAAATTACAGCGCACAATCAACACACACATGATCGTGCACACAACGTCTTACATTACCACGGCAAGATGGAGGGAGAGGTCTCATCGACATACAGAATCTACACAACAATCTTATAGATAAGTTACTCAAATATTTCTACGCCCAAGCCGGACAATCCCATCTTCATAAATTCTTAACCGATATAGACAAAAAATTAACTCCGCTCAACTTAAACGACACAAACATTCAACCAAAATTATTGAGCAAACAGCAGAAAATAGACTTATGGGCACAAAAGTCTCTACACGGCAGACATCTCGCCGATCTCAGCCAAACACACGTCGATAGAAATAGAAAATAAATAAATAGATAGGCTGCGGCGCGGAGAACTCTTCCCAGAAACCGAGGCTTTTGTGATCGCTATTCAGGATCAGGTTATCGATACTCTCAACTATAAAAAACACATAATACGTACCCCTAACCTTCCTACCGACTTATGTAGACGATGCCATAGCAGTTCCGAAACCATCCAACACATCACTGGTTCTTGTAAATCTATTGTACAAACTGATTATAAACACAGACATGACCAAGTTGCAGCAATAATCCATCAAAATCTAGCTCACAAATACTCATTTATTTCAAATAAAACTGCTTATTATAAATATAAACCCAGTACAGTTCTAGAAAATAATGCATTTAAAATATATTGGGATAGGACAATAATTACCGACAAAACCATACATTATAATAGACCGGATATAACAATACTAGACAAAACTAACAAAATAGTTTTTATTATAGACATAGCAGTATGTAACACACACAATCTCCTCACGACGCACACAGAAAAGATGACTAAATACACAGACTTAGCAACGGAAATAAAAAGGCAATGGCAGGTAGATAGAGTTAAAATAGTACCGATTGTCATATCTACAACTGGTGTAGTACCGAAGACTCTTCAAGATAGCCTCAACACATTGGAAATGCCGAAATCCTCTCTCATACTCTTACAAAAAGCAGTCCTTCTTAACACATGCCGTCTCACACGCAAATTTCTCGCTTCATACTCATCATCTTAACTTCATATCATCATCCCTTTTTGGCACACTTGGCTTAAGGCCCGTGTGTTAGATTTTGTTACCCCTTTAAAATAAAAGGGAGACCAGACAAGGTATAAAATGACATAATAATAATAATACGTATATTTCACGAAAGCATACAGGGTTGCAAATTATAGATAGGCTGATATTTCTTAAGTACAAATAAATGAAGTTAGCATCTGTTACCGAACTAGGCAAAGCCTGTATTTCGGCTATCAGCGCCAATCCTCTCGGATATAATATTGTCTAATTATCTTAGCCATTTACATAGGGGTAATAAAATTTGTATACACATTATTTTAATTTAACAGAAGTGTGTGTGTGTGTGTGTGTGTGTGTGTGTGTGTGTGTGTGTGTGTGTGTATGTGTGTGTGTGTGTGTGTGTGTGTGCTTTCAAGTGTATATGTTTGGTTATTTGGTTAGACATAAGCCATTAATGTCAGTCAATTTTTATTTACTTAGCTATATATAGGAGTAGTTCCGTTTCTTCATAATTCAGCTTTAGTAAGTATTCACATACCTGTTTCTTTAGTAGCACTTTTGTCAAGGGATATATGTTTATAGCTCTATTAATTCTATTGTATATAAAAGGGGCAATGAAATTAGCGAAACGTTGGGCAAATTTTGTTTTACAAGTTGCTAGTCGGGGACAAACTATATTTTTTCTTCGTTTTTCCAAAAGTTGTGGGTCAAAGGTCTGCTTTCTATGTTGTAGCAGACAAGCGCTTAGGATAAATAGTTGACGAACTGTCAGAACTCCAGCTATCTGGTACAGCATTGTAGTAGGGAAGAATATGGGCTGAAAGGAACAGACTTTTAATATCGCACGCTGTGCGATCTCGATCGGTTTCATTACTGTTTTTAGGGCGCCACCCCAGGTAGAGATGCAGTACGTCAAGAGCGACTGACAAAGAGAATAGTATATCTGTTTCAACAATCCGGGGTCAGCAACATGCCTGAGATTTTTAAAGACATATATCAACTTTCTTACTCTTCCACACATTACCTTTATGTGTTCTTTAAAGTTAAGATTGCTGTCCATGATAACGCCTAAATATTTTATTGCATGTACACGTTCCACTGTGGGGCACGAGCAGTTACAGCCGGATTGACATTGATGTGATACGATTTTACGATTATTAAAATTCTCCTTGACACCCTTAATACTGAAGCAGATATATTTCGTCTTATCTACGTTAAGGGTAAGGATGTTTCTATCAAGCCAGTCCCCAACAGCACCAAAACCCGCCTGTGCAGCAACAAAAACCTCATTCCAAGTGTTGGCGCTAAAGGAAAGTGCAGTATCATCCGCGAAAGATATGATTATGCCTTTGGAGAGTCTTAAGCTTGTAAGTTCGTTTATGTACACGAGGAAAAGCGTAGGGCCAAGTATGCTGCCTTGTGGAACCCCGTGCGATACCTCAAGGTTACCGCTTTTATGACTTCCTACTCGAACACATTGCAGTCTCCCAGTTAGGTAACTCCTAAAAAGTTTTAATTGCATTCCTCTAACACCTAGTCTTTCGAGTTTGTCCAACAGGATGGAAACAGAAATCGTGTCAAAGGCCTTGGCTAAATCTAGAAAAATAGTGAGGCATTTTTTACCATTATCCAAGTTTGATGTTATATAATCGGTGAGTTTATTGACGGCTAGATCAGTTGATTGATCTCTTCGAAAACCGTACTGGTTAGTTGATAACAAACTATTACCTTCCAAATACTTAACAAGCCTCACGTTTATAATACGTTCAAGTATTTTTGAAATAGAAGGCAAGATGGATATTGGCCGGTAGTTTTCGACACGATTTCTGTCGCCTGCCTTAAAGATCGGGCACACTACAGCTTTCTTTAGAGAATCAGGGAAGACGCCCAATTGAAGGCAGTCATTAAATATTTTTGTAAGCGGAGATACAAAAATATTCTTATGTGCTTTGAGAATTTTGTTACTAATAAGGCCCCAACCGCTAGCGCAATCCGTTTTTAAGGTCTCAATCAGGCGTTCTACTTCTGATTCAGACGTGTCAAGTAGGGCAAAAGACTTACAAACAGTGGTGTCTGTATGATTATTTTGGAAATTCATATTCAACGTGTGCAAGTTTTTCTGATATATATTATTTGCTAGTGAGCTTCCTACATTAATAAAATAACTATTGACTTTATTTAGCGATTCTTCGGGTGAAGTAGATAACGTTAGCAATTCTTTAGAGTCTAAATGTTTTTGTGATGTATTCGTGATGTCTTTTATTGCTCTCCATAGTTTCTTGTTGTCTTGTTTAGCATTTTGTAGTAGATTTTTTTCGTACGTTCGTTTAACCTTTTTTAGTATCGCATTGCAGAAATTTCTGTAGCGAGTGTATGTTCGTTTTAAGATTTCATTGCTCGGTATATGATTAGATTTTTTGTGTAACTTGTCTCTATTTCTGATACATCGCAGCAAACCTGGTGTCATCCAAGGTTTGATAATTTTGTGGCGTTTGGAGAGTGATACCCGTGTAGTGTTATTTATAATTGCAGTTTGAAGACTTTTAATGAAATATTCTAAAGATGAATTTGGATTACATAGATTATAGACGGGGCTAAAATCAATATTGGCAAGGTCTTGACTCAAACCATAATCATTCATTTTTGTAATAGATGTTATAGCAAAATGGCGCTTTTTTTTAAGGATCATACTAAGTACAACCGGATAGTGATCCGTTAAGGTTGTTTGTAGTACGCCAGTAGTGATAGGATGTTTTGTTCTTGCTAGTGTGTGATCGAGACAAGAGTCGCTGGCGCATCGGGTAACTAAGTTGTGGGTTGGCAGGATGCACATGCATTTAAAAAAACGAATCGACTTCGAATTCGAATCGATTATAATTCTTAATTATTTCTATTATATAAGTAATCAATTTTTTATCGCTTCATCAAAAAAGTTCAGAAACTTCGTATTGTAAGTATTTAACTATCGATAACGAGCAACAAACATTGTCTGCATTTTTTTTTTCGGAAATCAATATTATTAATTTTCATCGTAACATTATAATTTACAACAAACTTATTTGTTTTTCGTTATCGATAGGTAGGTACTTAGATTGTACATTGTACAATGCACCCTGTCTCTAATCGAGTAGTAGTGATTTACATTCATGTCGTTCGATTATGAATCTTATTTGGTTTGCGTTTAGAAACTTAATTAAAATTCAGTACTAATTGCGCCATCTTACGTGTAGTAGCAATACTACATGCAAATTATTATAAGGTTTATTATAAGGTTGTATTTCAAATGATCAATTTAGTGACAAGAATCCTTTCTGCATTAATGTGTTTTGAGCAATCATGGCCCGTTGTGTTATTTTCCATGTGTGCGTTTGGCTACACATGTTTCGTTAATAATCAGTGATTAGGCTATTTCTACTCTTTTTTTCTGTTCTGTGTTTGTAACAATATGTAACTGTTAAATTATGGGTTCTTTGAAAGGTTAGCAATATTTTTAGTGAAGAATGATAGCAAGCGGGTACATGTAAAGCTTTTTAATCGCTTAATTTGAGGGCACTTGAAAATTGTTTTTGTTACACTTAATATCATCATCAATATTAAGCTTCTGGCTAGTGTCACATCTTTTGGCTAGTGTTCCTTCGACGACTGATGCAGACAGTATAATGTTGCTTAAATTGCATAATGCCACGTGTTAGAAGACATACGGATGCACTTACAGGGTCGTAACTATGATCCAGGAGGGTTACAGCGTGGTGTGGGTTGAACCTAGGGGTTTTCGCGGCGGGCGGTTCAAAATGTTTAGAACTCCGGTTCTACCGATACCGGTAGCACCGACTAGGGGAAGGGCAGCATCACCAGACGTCGTGACTCAGAAAGAGTTCTGGTCACGACAATAGGGAATATGCACGTGACACCAAAATGGACAAAATATTTTTATTTGTAATTTTTATTGCTAAAAAAATATACCCATACAATTATTTTTGAAATGTATTATAATTTAATAGTGAAATTTAATCATCAAAAATTGGCTTTTTTAAGATTCCCTCGCAAATTTCTAAAACGCAACGCTATTGGTTGAATAAAACGTGACGTCAACCTACACTGTCAAGAGTGTCAAAAGTTGTGTGTATTTGTAATATTTGGTTTCTGGTGATTTTTTGTTTCATTTTAAGTTAATAACTAGTACGTTTTCAGTGTTAAATTATTAAATTCCGGTGTAGAAAGACTCGACACAATGACTGAAACCGATTTTGTCAAAGCACAATCAGATAATCTTCCTAAAATAAACGTGTTTATGATGAGCACCTATTTCGCATTTAATTCAGATTTTACGTCTGCTGAACTCAGATGAGTAAAAGCTGCGAGGTAAACAAGTTATATAAATTTTATTAAATGATCGCTTTCATGGTTTTGTTAATAGCCGTATAACATAAATATAACCTAAAATACGCTCAGGTGCAGTTTTGATATTATTTGGGCACAAAGGAACCTCACAATATTTATAATAAGTTTTTATTGGCTTTTCCATGGTAACAAGTTAATTTTTATCACTCACTTTTTTAACTTTCAGAAACTTTGTGAACTTCACTCCGTCGAATTCGTCTGAAAGTGTAATCTGACGTCACAAAAAAAGCGCGCCAAAATGGACGTGTTCAAATTGCCTCAAAATGATAGTGATTTTAATATTATTTTTTTTGCTTAACGGTTTATATTTCGGATGTGTTATATTTATTTTTGGTAATGTAATAACTAGTAGAATCGTTAAAAAAAATACATGCATATTCCCTATTCAAGAAGACCGGTGTATAAGTTTAACCGAACGAAGAGAACGAAACCATCAGAAGTCGTCCTGAAGACTAGCAATACTCACGAAGACGTTTGGTTCTTATCCCGTTAACTGCGGCACATCGTGCAAACCGGGTAATGTTTGTTAGGCGACACCAGGAACTTCAGGACTTTCAGCAATGCTATTTACAGATAAAGGTTTCAAGTGACGATCGACGCAGTGTGGTGAAGATCTGGAGAAAGAGTTTCAGATCCGTGCATGCACAAAACGGACCGTTTTGGTGGATCAAATGTAATGGTCTGGAGCGGGATAACCCTAAGACGCAAAACAGATCTCGAACTTCTCAACGAGAGTTCTGTCATCGGCCCAACGGTAAGAAGTCCAGACCTGAACTCCATTGAACACTTGTAGAAACAGATGTGTCGCAGAAAGAAACGTTCCCATAAAGTCGCAGCAGAATCTCATAAATGCTTTGAAAATGTGTTGATTCCAGAAGGTAACGGCTGCCATTTAATTGAGAGGATGCCCTCAAGGATAAAAGAATGCATTATTAAAAGAGGATGTCATATCCTTTATTTAACAAAAAAAAAGATTTGGCTTCAACTTGTTACTTACGAAAATGTACCTGCTTTTTCAAAGAGTAATTTTTCTTCCAAATCGTCATTAAATACCTACTTACATTCAATTCATTAAATAAATAATTGCCAAATGCCAGAATGCTACCCCTTACGGGTGGAAATTGAGGAATGAAAAATACAGTTAATTACAATTCATAATGAAGTAGACGCATTGAGGAGGTGAGGGGCTTGTGGCTAAGTCATAACTGAGTAGGTTAGCACATTGCAAAGTTCAAGCAATTCTAGCCATGTCAGGCTACTGATGGTTGACCATTCTTAACACATTGAGACTCCTCCGTGCCAGTTAAACCGTCGGTCTCGGTTGCCATACGATCATCTGTGGCAATCGTTACGGGTATTTGGCGCCCTAAATAAGTCCGAAAAGTATTTCTACATAATTTCGATATTGCCCAGTACTTGGGTGGATGGATTTACAGGGCTGATGGCAGTCGCTCCACGTTCCAGAAATCGAAGTCCAGCCGCATCGTAGTAGATTCAAAAAGCTGACCTAGTTTGGGAAAAGGCTCGGAGAATGAATTAAGTAGGCGCTTTGAAGTCGATGACAATTGTTTAGAAATCAATTATTTAAATTGAAATTTCGTAATATACCTACTTTAAAATCAAACTTCGTGTAAATTTCTAGAGTTAATCACAAAAGAAAAGCACAACAACCATTGACTGAATCTTGAGATCACTAACCGTACGTTCTTTCTGTTATCCAAGATGTCCATCTATATTTGTTTTTATTTTTTATGGTTTACGAGCAGATTAGTGACCTGATTCCCTTGAGTGCCCCACCCTCTCCTCCTATAATTATAAGGTTTAAGCCTCCGTAACACCACTTAGTGAGAAGCAACGCAAGAATTGCTTTCTTAACTTCGGTTTTCTTTACTAGATGACGTTGTGTGAATGTGGTACAATATTATTATTATTATTATAAGGCCGTGGCATCAATTCGGTTGAGACGACCCAATATGCCGAAGCTCTAACATGACGTAACCATAATATAGATTTATCGTAACATCGTTGTTTTTGCCTTGGATATCTACATATATAACCGGAAATAGTACCTACATTTATTTTCTGTCATGAATACGATATTCTGTTGGATAATATTTTGATATGATGAATTACCTGGTAGGTAGGTCCATATGGTGGCCATTGTCCTTGGTACCAAGTTGGGTATCCCTAATGTAATGGCCCCTGCATAAGGTTTTTGTTCGTGGGGTGATAATTTGTAATAAACAATGCCTCTGATAACTGCCAACTCTCCGAAATGTTTTCCCATGTTGTTGTTCTCTTAATTACAAAATAAAACCTAGTTTTAGCAAAAAAATTCTCAGCCAAGCAAAGGGTACAAGATAGTACCTGAAAAATTTGTCGTTTATGTCAAGGTGACAGACTTTCAATAAAATAATAAAACAAGCCAGTGATAAATATTATCACAAGAGGGTATATAAAAGCGTCCCCTGCTAAACAAACACACATCCCAACTGCCACAGAATATGCATGAATATACAGGGTTACTGGTTAAGTTGATATTTTAGAATTGTAGTGGCCATAATTGCGTACAGATTTTATATTATCCTATCCCAAATCTAACCATTTTCAAGATTTTGGACTTTTAATGTTTTTAATAAAATTGCAGATTTTTTGTCTATCGGCGCTAGTTGCGCCGGTAGACAAAAATTCCCAAATTAAATGGAGCCAATGCCAATAAAAAGCTAAGAGGTTTGGGGGCAATATGGCGATACATAGTTAATTTATTGGAGTAATTTAATTATTAATCACTTAATTCATGAAATCGCAATCTATATACGACGAATTTGGACCGCACGTCGACCAAGCAACATCTCCGCAGTGCCCGAAGATTTCCGAGGATTTCCTCTGAGATTGGCCCCATGCCGGCCATGTGTTCGCAGTGACGTGCGCCCACCGATACGGTGGCAAATAAGCACAACAGTGCTGATATAACTGTGGGTCGACCACAGCCCAACTCCCTGGAGTTGGTTTTCAGCGGGAATCTGTTGTGCTTGTTTGCACCTGCAAGACCTCTGCGTCGCCCGGCTCCAGCCGTGCGACAATCTACAGGCTAGTCAAACATCGTGACGCGAGCTCGAAAGCTTCGAGCGTGAGAAGAAACACACCGGACATGACATGCGAGCTCCCCTTGCGCTCCGCAGGCTCGAGTGCCATCGCGCTCGCCACCGTCGAGTGCGAGAGCAAACGCCGCGCACAGCTCTTGCGGCTACGACCACCCCGCTGCCCGCGGGCACCTGTGCCTACTTGGGCAAAAACGAGGCACTCCGCAGACCGCGTGGTGGTGTGGACTGCCCCAACACACAGTGGGGACCCGCGCGTAAGTCGCCGCGTCTATTGCTGATTGCTCGGAGTTGGCGACACCTGGGGAGGCCCAGGTGTCGCCTGGAGTCTCACTTGGATCGAGATGATCAACAGGCTGCGTTAAGACCGAAACGGTCCCCAACAGAACAACCAAATACCGTAAAGGTGATGCGATGCTCTACCCCTGTTCAGGGGTAGCGGTAGACACCGCTGGCAGGGGGCAAAAGCCCCGATCCAGCCACCACACGGCCCCTGCGAGACGGTGTGAAGACCAGCGTAGCGTAGATCATTCTCGCTCGAGCCGTCGGGCTGTACGGATCTATGTACGACTGTTGGTAAGAGCTTGGTATATACTTTAATTGTATTTACTGTTCAATCTGATTTTCATTAACAAAATTGTAGTTCTTTTTTTAACGAGGTGGAAGATCCTCATGGATGTCCTTCCCCTAATGGGTGAGGGCGAAAGGGCTGTCGGACTCTTACCTACTAAAAACCACCCCGGTGTTCTTCTCCTTGCCTATGGCCGGAGGAGCGAGAATCGCAATTGCATTCTTCCGCTAACCCCGATAGACATTGACCCGTCTCACCTAAGACGGGTCTTGTCACCCGTTCTGACCGTCCCCCTTCGGTCGCAGTTCTCTAGAAGCGCATACGGAACACTGTGCGGCTTTAGGCCTGTATCTGTTCGGGCGACGAATTCTCCAAAATCGTCGCCCTCAGGCCACTTTCTAAGGTGGCCCGAGATCGACGAATGCCCTCCCGGTCTGCCTTTTGCGGGTAGAGGAGAGCAGTGCTGCATTCTCTCTCCCGTCACGCCGCTTCCTTTGAGGCATCACCTCCTCGCAGAAGGAAGCGATGGTGTTCCATGCACTCTCGCTCCGGACCATGGACAAAGTCAAGGTCGGAAGCGAGACGTTACCCGCAGAACTGACTGCCGCGATAAGATTACGACGCTGGCTGGCCCAAGCTGGGCATTCCACCAGCGTGTGAATGATGGTACCGTGACGTCGGCTCCCGGCCAAACCGACACAGGTACTTGCCGAAGCAACCGTGTCCGGAAAGCACCTGCGTCATCCGGTAGGTGAGAGCTCCGTGTTTCCTCTCCAGCCACTCTCGTAGGACGGGTTTTCCCGCCGCTATAGCGGCGTGCCCCGCACTGGGCCGTGCAAGCCGCCCGATCCCAGATATTAAAGATAAATCTATTGCAGTTTTATTTTTTCTTCAAAACATTAACAGTGTCTTTACAGGATCCTTATCCCTAAAACGATACTGTAAGTAAAAACAGTAAGTATCAATTATTTTTTAAAGAAAAATTATTTGCTGTAAAACATCTTTAGGCAACTTCTTTGAAGTTCGGCAGGCTACAGTTGTAGATATCTACGTGTATTGAAATAATATTATTGCGCGAGATATAGGGGCATATCTAAGCAATTTGTTTGCGTTACTTGATTGTTGGTTGATGATTAATTGGTTAAATTGTAGATGTATTAAAAAATATGTACGTATTAGCTATCAGTTATGTATCAAGGTATGATAGAAAAAAACTTAGATAAAAGACTTTGAGTATTAAGAATTAGCGTACAACCCGGTAGTGGATACCTAGTAAAAAACTTGCCTTGAATTTTTGGACTGTTTAATGTTCTATTAGTGACTAAACAATTGTTAACTGGACTTAAATTTGTGCTTCAAAATTACAAACGAGGAATATGTTGAAATTAAGATTTTTACGATTTTCTTACAATTTTTCAACTATCTAGTTCGGTCCAGTTTGTCAAGTTAACTACAGTCCGGGACGTAGCTGGAACAGGTCGGCGCTCTACAATGGGTGCCACCATGAGTGTGAGGTTGTCTTGGCCTCTTGATATCGCCAATGCCTTTAATACTTCGGCCCAGTTAGCTACAATTTTGGTAATGGAAATTCAAAAACAATGTTTTAATGATACAAAAACTCTAAAACAATGAAAATGTTCTAAAAAAATTGTAATAGGCAAAATTTCGGCAAAATTTTCAAATCTAATGTCTTGAAAATGGTTGCTTTGAGATATGGTATTTCATATTGTATTCTTAGTAATAATGGCTACTTATACCCCCTCAATATCTAGGTCGACTTAACCAGTAACCCTGAAATAGTGTATTCAGACCATCAAGTCAAGCATCAAGGGCATTCCCTGTAGGTATCGTACAAAAGTAATAACTACATTTGTATTCCGTGCAAACCGTCTGTCTCCGCACAAGTTGGCGGTCGGTCGGTAAAATGTTCTGTTTATCCTTTTTTACCAAAAAATTGGAAAATTATAAAATAAAAAATAATAATTTTCTAGCAGTAAATTCCGTCCTTTACAACCTGTATTAAAATATGTGGTGCCAGTATATGTTTGTTCTTTCTTTAATTCATGCAGAATTATCTTTGTTACGATTCTTACTTCATCTACATGGTATTATCCTTTTGTCTACGAGACCGTGCCATCAGAGCCTTCAGTCTACTTAAATGTTGCTCAAGTTTAAAATAAAAAGTATCCAAAGTCTACCTAGCTGTACCTAGCTGTAAAAATAGTATATTAAAACTTTACTTGCAAGCCATAACATACCCGATGTTCCACAGGAGAGGTCCTAGGACAGACCCCTGCGGAACACCGCACGACATGGCCCTGCGTCTCAAGACGCCATCTCGGTCCTCGTACATGACGGTTCGCTCCTCAAGATAGTCTGCTACCAGCCGCCTCAGGTACTCCAGCACTCCGTGGTAGCGGAGCGCTTCCCTGATGCAGCTGAATGGCAGACTATTGAAGGCGTTGGCGATGTCCAAGGACACCGCCAACACCTCTCCGCCGCAGCTCACGGCCTCCTCGGTCACGGCCCTAAGGCGCATCACGGCATCGTTCGTCGAACGCCCCTCTCGGAATAAGTCAGTCAGCTGCTCCAAGCACCAACACCCACATGTAATTGTACCACATTTCATTTGAATTTTTTGTAACGTTCTGTAAACGAGGCAGTGAAAGCTTTACATTAAATTCTTCATTAGCAATCTAATTACTACTTGTCTATAATAATTTTGCTCTGAAACATAATTTATCGAAGATATTGCCATATCCATTGGTCTACTTATGTTAAAAGGCTCGGATTTTTCTGACTCGCTTGAGTAAATATGCTATTGCTTTGGCACATTCCCCAATCAATCTATGTCGTAAGCTGTATTCCTTTCCCTCCATTGCCTTTACTTTTTATTTACCCTCCCCTATGAGTAAAACGATGTGAGTAAAATTATAGGTGGCAAGATGTGGAGGTTTAATACGTCTTAGCCTGTCCTTTTGGATATTTAGGCGTGAGTATGTGCGTATGTTTCTTTAATAAAATCTAAAGTTTTTTTTAATAAATAAGAGTTAGCAGGACGTTCTAAGTTATTTGTTTGTGACAAATTAAGTCACTTTCACCCTCTTCTCTTCTCTCCTCTCATCTGTGTTGGAACAAAAAAAAAACAGTTAATAGGTAATACTCTTAGAGTATAATATAAGCAGTATTATATATACTCTAAGGTAATACTTTATGTTGAATTTATTTATTTCTTGGTTGCAATCGATACCTTGCAGTAGGAAGAACTAGTGAATAAATACGTCTACCAGCTTCCGGCTTTTGTCTTCCTAATTTTTCTATGTGATTTAAATAATTTTTTCTCTTAAAAATCTCTTAATAGATTAGGACCCCTAAATTTGTAATATTTTCTTGTGATCAAATGGTACTAATACCTTTAGTACAACTATATTAATTACAATACTCGTTTAAGTTTGTTAACAAATCGATTCTCTTATTTTGAAGTCACTGAAACTGCAGTTAAATCGAATTAACTCATCACGAGGTAAGTTGCATCCCTAAATCAATTGATTTGTCAGTTTAAGTAGAAGGGAAATGTTCAAATGTCAAAGACACAAAATAAAGGTTATAAAAATTGAACTACGTGATAAAGACTTAAATGTAATTTTTATTCCAAAGCAAGAAAAAATTACAGCGTGTCTTACATTAATTAGTTTATATTAAGCTCAATACAAACTATTGTTACTCTACATTAACATCATACAACATACAAAAAATGACGTTACATGATTCTGAAGCAGTTTTTGATCTGCTAATAGCAGAAATGAATAAATAAATCGCATAATATACGAAATTAAAGAAATAGATTTTGTTATTATAAATATTTGATTATTGCTATAGTCACGGTTTGAGATACTTGCTCTGTTGTGAGAAGCGAGTATTGCGAGCGATTCTCTGCCATGTCAGTCCGGTCTTAAACCTCTACTGTAGTGAACGCTGTCTACGCAAGCGGTCGTGTACAAAATTTAACATTGTAAACGTTGTGTGCTAGAATGTCGTGTATGTGTTCTCTTGCCAAAGAATTATTTGTTCCGGTTAAGATTGATGAAAATGATCTCAATACTGGAGTATTAACACTACTGCAAACTTTGAGACCTAATTGGCCTAAAGATACTATTCAATTAAAGGTAAAGTTTTAAGAATCATTTTCAAAATTATGAATATTTTTCAGAAAGGATTACACTCCTTCCTATTTGCAATTAATTAGATGTTACATAGTTTTTTTAAATATATTTATGTTTAGGAATATATAGACTTTTGATGCAATCAAATAAACAATCAGTGTGAAATTTTCTTATGCTTTCAGTTACTTACTGATGGCATTACAAATAAATTAATATCGTGCCAATACACAGAATGTAAGCAGGAAAAGGACATAGTACTTGTTAGAGTCTATGGCAATAAAACAGATTTATTTATTGATAGAACTGCAGAAATCAGGTAATAAAATGTTTTTAGACCTTAAGTAAAATAAATCATCATCATCATCATAAACAGCCTTAGAAAGGAGGTTTTTGGCCTTCTATACCACGCTGGCCAGACTGGTTGGTATAGGGTTTGTGTCAAATTAATTTAAATTGTAATATTTCTTCAGTCTTATTAAAAACATGTTCAACATTGAAAATAAATAAAGAATGTTGGTGTAATTAAAGCCAATTATATTTTTAATTTAATAAATTTGAAAATAACTAAATGTAGTTTAACACATTGAACACTGTTTAGCATTCACAATAGGAAATGAATTTATTAAATTTAGAAATTATGACCGTCATGGCAGTCAATGTGTTAATTATATTATTTAAAAATAATTGAAATAAAATATATCAAGTTTTGTTCCAATAAATTTTGGAAATTTTAGAAACATCAGAACACTAAATGTTCTCGGAATGGCACCAAAGCTGTATGGAGTGTTTGAAAACGGACTTGCTTATGAATACTACCCTGGACGTACTTTGGATGTGACAACAGTCTCAGATGAGAACATATGGCCCCTGGTGGCTAGACAACTGGCGAAAATGCACAAAGTTGAACTTGAAAAGGATGTATGTATACTGTTTTTTTTTTTAAAGCAAAACCTGACTTAACTACATGATGCTGCTCCTAATTTATGTCACAGAATTGTTTTTTTACCTAAACACCACCGAAGCTAACAATTATCATATTATTTTATTGATAACTGACATTGAAATGCATTTGAATATTATATTTTAAATTTTCGAGCGTAAATTCATTAAAACGTCATGTTGCTCATTCGCCGTGACGTCATGTGGCTAGTACATGCATGATTTAATTAGATTTTTTTTTTGTTAAGTTTCTGTCGATAAAATATAGTACCTACCATAAAAAAAAATATTCTTGGTAGTCCTACTTTCTTCCCCTTAAAAACTATAACTATATACTAAGGTTATATTTAGATAAATACACAAGAGGAATAAAGTATTCCTCTTAAGTTTAAATTTTAATGGAAATTTACAATTTGGTTAGTTTTTTACCGACGCAATGTTATGGTTTCTCTTCTTTCTAGAATAAATAAAAACTCAAAAAAATTCGTAAATTGGATAATAAAATTTTATTTCTATATTTATGAACTGACACAGTATTTTCCGATTTCCTGTTGTCTAAGCTATCTTACTATTATATTTATTTATCAGTAGGTACATGCGTGAATTTAAACATCTTATTTTCGTTGACATAATCTTGACAAGACTATGTGGCATATAACACAAATTCTTATGTAAGAGTATTATAATATTAATGTTTATTTCTTCGTATTTGGTTAACTGCCGTATCGTTTATCCGATCATCATGAAGCATAAGCATTGCCAGGGACACAGAGAAGAGCTTGAGATCCCATTCATCCAACATTTGGTTAACCTTAAATAAAATAAATACTTATTATCTATACCTACTAACATTATAAAACTAAAGAGTTTGTTTCTTTGGTTGAACGCGCTAATCTCGGCAACTACTAGTTCAAATTGAGAAATTCTTTTAAGTGTTAGATAAATCCCTTATCGAGTAAAGCTATATAATATCACGCTCCGACAAATAGGAATGGAACAACAATGAAAAATGTTGCACAAACGGAGAAAACATGCCTTTTGAGAGGTCTGCTGTTTACTTATAGCGAGAGTAGCCACGGGCAGAATCTCGTTGCCGTCAAGAATATTAAAGCTTATACACTACTAATGACCTCGCGGCTTTTGTGATATTTGTTTATATGATTAATACAATATTCACTGATATATCTTAATTAGGAAGTGAATTTTAATCTTTGATGTTAAACAGCCGAGGTCGCTAATAATTCCTTCTAATTATTCTCCATTTGTTTTATTATAAACACACCCACTCCCCCTCCTCAAAGCGTACACGTCAAATTGGATAATCTTTCAAAAATTTACGAAAATGAAAAGAAAACAATTTTCTGCCCCTAGCGTGATACATTTAATTTTTTGCCGATATTTACCAGTGTTTTGATGAACTACGACGCTTAACGATGTACATAACAACCTCATTTTGACATCTAGGAACGACATTTTGCGTATACGATAAACTTTTCGGATTAGGCATTTTTATACCAAAATCTGAATATACAAAAAAATATCTTCTTAATACGAAGAAAACATAGGAATTGTATTCAAATTCTTGAGCATTCCTGCTGCCAATTTCGTTACAGAGTATCAGCTTTAGATTTCAAAGTGTAAACACTTTGAAATCCATAGCTGATACTCTGATGCTGGGAAGTCAAAGAAAATATTTTACACAAAACTTCTAAATGTGCGGTTTCTACAATAGAATTTTGCGACGATGATCTCTACCTAAATATGAAAACCGCTGAGAATTCTGGCAACGCTTCCTATAAGCGGTGCGACGTCGGAGAGATCATTTTCTACGTTAAGGGGTGTTAAGACTTCTTTCTTTCTTCTTCTTCCACCCTTCTTTTGAATCGCCTTATCACGTTACGCGAGATCGGCTTTAGCAATCATAAGATGCCATTTACTACTTTCTTTAATGTCTTGTTCGTGGAGTCTCAACACTTTCATCACCTTTCCTTTTAAACATTTGTCATCCAAGTTGTTTGGGCCTTCCTCTTTCTTTCCATAGCGTGGGAAAAGTACTTTTAAACGACACTACAACAAGACACACACACTATGATCGCCTGGTCTTCTCATAACATGATCGTATTATCTTAGCATAGCCTCATAAATTTTGCGCACTTTGTCCCTAAGGGTAACTCTGACCGACCGGCGCACGCGAAAACGCAAAGGGTGCGGGCGCGAGCATGGTGCACAACCTCTCAAATATTATAAAGTCTAATTTAGGTACTGGAGATATTTTATTATTAGTGACCTTCCTTTTAAATATCAGGATGCATCGCACTTGGTTTAATGGAAGGACGTCTTTTTACAAATATCCTAAATATGCAGGATGGTTGTTTCTTACATTAAAAATAGCTTGTTAAAGAGTCCTCATTATGTTAAGTACATAACACCGTAAAATTATTAATTACTAGTTGACTGAATTGAAATAGATGTCATACGCTACGACAAAATAGAACGTTACTATTTGAAGAATCTTGAACGGATCTTTTACATGAGAATATTTTAGTACTTACTTACAAGTTCTAAATTTATTATTTGTATATCTAATGTAGTGAGTTAATAATATTTTTAACACTTTTTTAACAAATATGATACGTGTATTTGAATATGTAATTAATAAAATATAACTCGCCCACGTTTCAATGTTAACTGTCGTTTCTATTGGAGGTCGTATATATGTGTGTACTGGTCTATGTGAATAATCTTATTTACACATGACTGTCACCTATTGAAAATAAGCATAGTTACAGTGTTGTTTATGTTCTATACATTGTGACTTGTGTGTAAAATATTGACCACGAATGAATATAGTAACTATCACACCGCCTATACAATAGTTTCAAGGTCACTAGTTATATTAATTGTAAAAAAATAATTGAGTTTAGTTATAATTAATTTATTTCTCATAAGAACTTACAGTCCACTTACAATGAGAATGAGATACAAAATACTTAATATAAACACTGAACTGACAATGGTGCTAAGTCTATTGTTCAAAAAATTCGGTAAACTAAAGTAAAAATCACTAAAAATTTGTTCAGTCCTGTCAAACCACGTTTCGCATTCTGAAAACGTACGATTTAACTATATTAAGTTTGACATCACTGACATTAATTAAGTTACTTAATTTAGTCCATAATTGATCATTTGTTATTCTGTTGTACGTTCTAATCGTCCAAGATTGAATTAAAATTAAAATTTGAAATGTCAGACTAAAATTTGACGTTATCTACATACATGCCAACTAATTTGTTGTAATGTGGCTTTGTGTATTTTTTTTTTGAATCAAGATTAAGTAAAAGTTGTCTAATTTGTAAAAAACAAAATGTTTGAAATACATCACGGTTTAAAATTTATAGCTCAGAAAACTATGTTCCTCAATCCTTATGCCTGCAAAGAACACTTGATGGTAGCTCACTAGGTACTGTAAATATATAATTAACTACAAAGATAAATTTTAGCCCCCACAGTCTCCATAGTCAGAAGATACATTACGGAATCTAAGCCACAAGTATTCCTTATTTGTACTGCATGATTTAAGTAAATAATGGTCACCCTATACATATGTAGTTTTAGGAATATTGATTAGTCGTACTTTTAGTAGAAAATTACTACTAAAGTTTATACTTATTCGTAGTTAATCATATATTTACAGTACCTAGAGGGCTACGATCAAGTATTCCTTGTAGGCCTAAGGATTAAGGGACATAATTTCTAGAGTTATAATTTTTAAACCGTGATGTATTTCAGGCATTATTGTCTTTTGCAAATTATTAGACACCTTTTACTTAATCTTGATGCAAAAATATTTTTTATACACATAGCCACTTTTACAAAACACCATGACCCTTAGTCCATACAGTAAAGATTGAGGGATACATTTAAAACATTTATATAAGTTTTGAATTTTGATTCACCAAGAAATTTTTAGCCTTGAGCAAGGATTGAGAGACTTCATTTAAATTGCAAAATTTTTAAATTATTATTTTACAATTTTTTAAATCGGTTTTACAATTTTTTTATAACTTCTACTAAATCTAGATAACATTCGTTTTTCGATTCACAATTAGGACCCTCAATCGTCACGCACACTAATATTTTTCATTATAAATCACAATTATATTGTTAAGTATCTTATCTGGATTATTAAGACATACCTACGTACTATCTTTAGAAACTAAAGAATACATGAATATGTTCAAAGAGTATTCTTTAGTGTAGTGTATTAAGCATTATTAAGTAGTGTATTAAGACAACTCCAATCCCTTTTAAGAATTAAAAGTAATTAATTAATGAAGCCCATATTAATAATTCACATATCAAAGGATAATGCGCTTTAAAACCGTCTTGAAAATTATTACTAGGTATCAACCCATTACTAGGTATCAACCCAATTACTAGGTACCCCCAAAATCATCGCCTTTTGCTAGTTAATTATTTAGTCTGACTGACTGATGATTATCAAATAATCAATCAATCAATAATAATTATTGAACATTTTTAAGAATTAGCACGCGGGCAAATTAAATTAGCGCAAGGGCAATTTTTTCACGCTTGGTAGAGTAAAAAATAATATGGCTATTTTAAGTAGAGGAAAATTGAAAACCATATTTCTATTTTTCCTGGGAAAACGAAAAACGGGTTTATAAATTAATTAACTTAGGTCGAAAGGGCTAATTGAGATCTATAAAATGAGATTTTTTTTTATTTTGAAATTTTAATATCTGCAGGCTGGAACGTGCCCGGTCTCAATTCTGCTATTACGCCAAGCCAGTGTCATACCACTGACACGCTATTGAGATGCCATCGAGTGGCCATTGGCATCGGTATAAATATCGGTAGTTGAAAATATATTACATTTTTTGAGGAAATGATTTATTTGTTTTTATTATAATAAATTATTAAAAGAAATAAATAAATTAAAATAACTCCTGCTCCTG